TTAAGTGCTAACAGTCCCTTAAATACAATGGCACTGATTATTATAATTCAGTTTCTATTTGACAGAAAAATGTCAACACCAATTTAACCAATAATGGTTAGCTCTTCTTAAGATAAACAAAGAGGTAATCACAGAAGAAATGCTGAAAGACTGCTTACAAGTACAAATGGGATACATTTACAGCATGTAATGAAACAAACAATTATGTCCGAGTGACACTACAATTCCACAAGAACAGGAACTGGCCACTAAAATGCCTTCCTTAACTTTCTTGTTCTGTTTATGCATGGCAGCACATTTGCAAAATCACTTCATTCATTACAGATTCCTATAGTAATCTAAGCACAAGTTAAGAAGTCTGTTTCAGACTATGAATTTCTTTCCTTTTGTGATTTAATTAAGGTTCACAACTCTACAGGAGTGTTGCTTCTGCCCAGTTTAACCACCTCAACAGTATCATGCTATTCTAATCTCTCAAACCATTCAAAGAACTTACTTTAAAAGGAACATTTTAAATAGGAAACAAAATTCTATAAATCCAGGTTCTAATTAGATCTGACATTCTTAGGCTAAACAAAAACATCAAAATAAAGAAATTATTGTGCACTGCAAACACATACTGGTTTGTACATATCATTGTAGTTACCCATTAAACTATTTTTATAAGTAATTCAAAAGGCACATTTTGAAAATGTATCCTCTATCTTTACTCACCATTAGCATTATAATTGTGAGCAGTAAAAATTCATTATTAAGTGAAAGGGTTATTTGTTTTTGGAGGGAGAGAGATTCTCCCCAATTTTTTCAGATTCCTCAACTTTTGAGGTTAAGCAACTTTGCTTTCCTTTGAAGAAGATATAAAGTGTTTACAAAGAGAGGATTAACTATTGAAAAATTAGACACAGGTAGTCAATACCACTCCCTACTTTAGTCCCCTATATAAACTGTACAATATTTTAAATATTAACTTCTCTTCAAACTGACTAGAATGTGTTAAACTGATTTGTACGAAGATCAGACAGGCATGGGACTGCAATTATATGCCACAATACTCTTTTCTTGGTTCACAGCTCTATTCATCTTTTTGAAACACTGAAAGACAGATTGGACATAGGGGAACGGATTAGCCACAGGACGACCTGTATTTCCACACAAAAGCCTAAGTGTGGAAAAATGGCACCCTGTGTCACCCATTCTTCACTCCCTGAAAAAAACATATTCATGAAAATGGCCATTTAAAGAGCTCTTTCCCACTCATCTCAGAACAAAATGTTCATTGTTTTTTGTACATCATGTTGAGCGTACAACAATGTAACATTCCTATTAAGTTTCCTTAATTATGTAAATTCCATAAAATAACTTAAGGATTAAAAAAAAGTATTTTAAACTGAACTCGGATACTTTAAGTGGTGTGAGTACAGCAAAGCACTACTGCAGAAAATTTAGTTTGCAAACTCTACAATACATAGTTGCAAAACAGCAACCCCTTATCTGTCAACATGACTGGATGTTTATTTACTTTTAAAAATAATCTTTGCTGGGTGTTGTCCACTTATTATAATCAAAGTTCTGAAGTGTATATGCTATATTTTCAAACTGAAATTAAAGTAATATGCAATATACAGTTACCATGAATCTATAAATTTAAAGTAATATGCAATATACAGTTACCATGAAGTTACCATCAAAGTGAATAGCAGGAAGATAAATAAAGGGGGGGGATAATGATTGTAAGAATTGGGCATGTTTACATCTTGAGAAAAGACAAGATTGGGGAGGGAGGGCCTGATCAGTTTCCAAATATGTTTCAAGCTGTTATAAAGAAGAGGGTGATCAATTGTTCAATTGCAACCAACAGCAGGGCAATAAGAAATGATCTTCATCTTCAGTGGAGGAGATTTAGGGTAGATATTAGACAAAACTTTCTAACTAGGTAAGTTCTAGAACAGACTTCCAAGGGATGTTATGGAATTCCTGTTATTGGAAGTTTTTAAGAACAGTTTGAACAAACGCTCATCAAGGATAATATAGGTTTACTTGGTCCTGCCTCAGTGCAAGGAGTACACCAGAGAACCTCTTGGGGTCCTTTCCATGCCTCTATTTCTATCTCATGCTGCAAAAATTCAGTTCTATACCGAGGGACTTTAGAACAGACAATACAGACTAAATATAATGTGGGCACTTGTACCATATAAAAAAATATAAATTAGACCTTTATTTAATTTCACATACCTGATACCTAAATTGCAAACATTGTTATCTTCCTACCCACTATAATATAAAGATCTGGAATGTCATTTGTACTGTAAGACTGTTTCAGAGATATGTTATCAAGTAGTTTGATCAGGCTAGACAAACTGCCAATCCACTTTGTTGCTGTTCTGAGGAGATTAATTTGACACCCTGTAAGAAATGATGGTACTTCAGTATTTAACTGAAGATTTTGGCTATATACCTGGGCCACAAACAAAGAACAATCCCAACCTGTCTATAGGATACAATATGCAGTAAACTTAAATTTGACTGTTGCCAACAAAACGATGTTTCAGTACTATCATTTGGATTCAGACATTCTATTATGTAACATTTGAGATTTTTTTTTTAAGTTAAAAACAACTGCACTATTAGAAGCAAGTCTCAGATGTTCTGAAGACAGGCAGCAGTAATTTGTCACATGTATTCCATTTATGTTTATTCACTAAACAAATATACTAGTATGGTAGGGAGAAAATAAATGTTTCATGGGGGGGGGGGGGGAGAGAAATATTTGTTTGTCTCATTTTTTCCATGCTAATACAAGTTTTATTCCTCCTGCAGGTTTTTAAAAAAAAACAGTTAATTTTCCCATAAAAAGAAAAGGGGATTTTAATTCCTTCAGGCAAAATGAACATGTAGATGGGATTTCCCCCCTTCCCCCAGTAGAAACCCAGAGCACTACCTAACCTTTCTCCTTCCCTTAAATAAATGAATTCATCTCAATACACTACACATAAAAAGGAGATCAATCGACTAGTGGGGAGGGGGGGAAACTGTGCAAGACACGCAGAAACAGTTACGCTATGTGGAATTTTACTGAGTCCTATTAAACTGTACAATGTTATCATTCAAACTACAGCGCACTACACATATTGTGTTAAATATGAATGTTATAAAAAAGTCAAAATGCTAATATAAAAATTAACCAAATTACATGCATTCAGAGTGAAAGCTAAAATGATTCTAACAATCCATATTTAGACTCTATATACAGGTCTGGGGGAGGGAAGTCTATTAAAAATTGGATGAAAATATTTATGCCCATAGAGATGCACAGATACAGTTAATACATAACCCTACAGGCTCGGAAGCACATCAGTTTCATCTAGTCAATTCACAGCAGAATGGTCATAAATACTGGCGAAAAAAATAATGATAATGTGCTAAAATACTTGGCTGGGTGATCACTGATCCCTTCATTTAAAAAAAAAAGTGCAGTTGGTATTTAATCTTTTTTGGCCAACAATGCTGAAGAATACTCTCCTTTAGACTGTTATAAAGCCTTCCTTCTTACCCAATTATTTATAGTAATAAAGGTGTCAAAAATCTAGTAGACAGCATAAAATTGCAAAACATGAAGGCAAATACTAACAAAATTACCTTGAAATTAATGGCAATTTATTCATTTTCCACAATTTCTTTAAAAGAGTCACCTAATTAATTAGGCAGAAAATATATGAACCTTGCTATTATGCTAATTTTATGAATCTTAAATTAATGAGTATCTGGGAGGCTTATACACATAACACAATTAAAGCATCTGTAGATCTCTCAAAAGAGAAATCTGCGGTTAACATCTTAGTGCAGCTAAGTGAATATCTCTTCTCTCACAACTAGCCAAACCATCTAGCTTCTTGGTTTACAGATTCTTTGCCAAATGTACAGTACTTCCTGGGCTGACTTGTGTAAATTATACACCAATAGAGATCTTCCAGCAGCTACAACACTCTCACTTTGACCAATCTTGAGTGAAACTTTGTCCCAGTCACACAAGACTTGTTTCACATTTAGTGCAGCAAACACCCTAACCTACGCTGGCATTTACTGTTCAGTCAAGCGCTAAAATGTATAGTAATATTAAAAGAGCTTGGATCCCAAAACACAGCCAAGTAAATCATGACCGTTTTGACATCGCTGCATGGTTTACAAACCAGCAGCAGGTCTTTCCCTTTGCTGCCCTCACCCCAAAAAATATGTATACACTCCCAACTTCACACTGTGATTTGTATCATGAATAACCGACTGAATCATTATTTTGGAGGAGGAGAGGGGTGAGAAAAGAAAGAAAAGACAGAAACTGAACAGAGGGTTTCTTTCCCGAGAAAAATCTTATATCCACTTAAGAATGTATCTTACTTTCTGCCCCCTTAAGGAAACAAAACATTTTCTCCGCTGATTTGTGATGGTGATTTTCTGAACACTGTGATGGAAAACACAGGAACCCTTAAACCATGCAAAAGGGCCTTTGCCAGTTTTAGGGCAGAGGAAGAGAAGGAAGGAGCTGAATTTGCTCTGCCCTGCCCTTTTCATAGAACTTTAGTGCCATCTATTGAAAATATATTGAATTTAAAAAGAAAAAAAAGAAAAAATAAGCCACCCATTGATTTGATATAAAAATAAGACATTCACTTGCAGGGATTTTTTTGGTTTATTAATTCTCTAACCGTGACTAGTGATCCCCAGTCTTCCTAAGGTCAGAAAATCTTATCCATGCACTAAAATATCCCATTAAAGCAATGAGATCTTCACTAAAGAACAGAAAATGCAAACACTATGTATATAAAAATCAGGAATTCAAGCCTACATTTAGCTACCTTCTAAATAAAAAGGAGCAGTTTTAAAAAGGGGGAATACTGAACCAATGTTGTAGACAGAACATACTGGAAACAATAAAAAATTAAGGCACCTAGTAAGAGACCTTTGCATTGAAAGAACAGGGTATGTAGACATGCAGATATAATTACCTTCTTTTAGGAACTGTGAGTGGATGACAAATATAAGAAAACAGCAGATAGCTGCTCCTGCTAATGCCCATAAAGCTTTCAAGAGCTGCATCTCGGTTTGAAACTCAGTAAATACCCAGAAAGTCACACAATGAATTTCCACAGCGATGCATCAACGTTTCCCCTTTTGCGCCAGGCTCGGCTGCTCCCCAAGCAGTAACCACACTTCCGAGAGAGAGAGGGGGGTGGGGGAGAGGGAGAGGGAACGAGCTCAGGGTTTGGGGAGATGGGGCGAGGGGGATTTAAAACAAAGTCTCAAGCAGCAGCAGCACCATGATCTTCTTATGGACAGCAGCACAGAGGAAGCTGGGTCTGGGATCCATGAATCAGCTTTCTGTTTCCTCGTGAGTTGAGCAGCATTGAGGATTGGAGAGGAGGGAGGGAAGGAAGCAAATCTGGGCAGAATTGCGCAATAGCTCCCACACTGCTCCGGTGGGGGCTGTTTTTGCTGCTGCTGCTGCTGGTTCAGTCGCTGCTCGAGCTCAGCAGTGCTGAGAATGCGGGAGCCGGGTTTATCTTTCTGAGGCTCCAGGAAAGCCAGTGCACCATCGCTCGGCTCGTTAGGTTACCTGTCCCGTGTCTGCCGCCTGGATGTGGGGGAAGGGAGAATATGGGTAAAGGGTGGGGCAATCTCTCTTTCCTGCAACTTCTCTAGGCTGATGATCACAATCTGAGCCACCCACCAGGCTCGGAGAGCTTCTCTCCGTCAGAGCAACTCAGTGTATCCTGATAGCCCGGGGAAGTGCAGGTATCAGCTGGCCGCGGTGGAGCTCCTTGCCTGCGCTGCCTCGCAAAGCCGCTTGCCCACACTTGGGCTCTCTCCTCCCGCTGCCTGCTTCCCTCCTCATCCGGATCCAGCCAGCCCGGGATCGGGAGCCCTCTCCCTGGAAAGGCTGTGCTGTGCCGGGGCCGGAGACCTAGTTTACTTGCCCGCCCGCAGACTGAGAAGAGGTTGCATAAGTCGCGGGGCGCTTTTCCTGCCGTACCCGCAAAGCGCTTTCCAAACAGGTAGCTGCTGCAAGACAAATCTCAGCCTACAGGTTGATGCCTTTCGTAGCAATCCCCCTGTGCACACGCACACGCCAAACACTGCGATTCCCGAGGCTGGGGTGCCGCCGCCGCGGGGAGACGAATGGTGGCAGCGGGTCCCTCTGGGGAGGCGAAGAGGGCTGGGCAGCTCCGGCAGGCTGCAGAGAGGCGCAGACTTGCAAGGCTTTGCCCGATCGGAGCTGCAGGCTGGGTGGCCGCACGCTGTAAAATCTTGGGGCGGAGACGGGCTGTGGGCACAGGCTGGGCGGGCTCGCTGGAGCGCTTCCTGGGCTTGTCGGCTCAGCCCGGCTGGGCACACGCAGCAGACGCGCGGGGAGCGCAGGGCTGGGGGGCTGGACGGCCCCGCGCTGCTCCCTCTCAGGGTGCCTTAGGGCGGCAGACTGGGCGCCGGGAGAGCTGCCCGGCTCCCTGGAGGTACTTCGGCAGGGGGAGAGCGGCGGCGGCAGCGCTTCAACCCGCCCAGTCCCAGCCCCGCTCCCTCGCATTTAAACCCTGCCGGCTCCCCCTCGCAACTTTCCCCGCTGTCGCTCCCCGGGTGGCAGTGAGCATGCCCGAGCCAGAGCTGAGCCTGCGCAGCGCTCAGGCGCTCGCCGGCCGGGGCTGCTCCCCGCCGGGCAGGAGAGGAGCAAGGTCAAGCCGGCAGGGGCAGGGAGCGAGCCAGGCGCAATCCCGGGGCAAAGGAGCAATGACCAGAAAGCAACGAGGGCGCAGCAGCGCGACGGCGAAGCAAGAGTGGGAGGCGGGAGCAGGACCGAGGGCGGGGATCAGGGGAGTGAAAAGGGAGGCGAAGGGTCGCATGTCTGATGCTCACACTTGTCCTAGCTCGCCACCTGCTTACTGAGAAGCAGGGCAAGTCCCCACGCACCTCCTCAACTCTATGGGGGGAGGGATAATTAGGGGGTAAGGACAGGACTGATTATTTCAAGTGTACATTGGCAGGTTTGTATAATTTGGTGGTACCCGGAATGGGTCCCAGTCCTCCCCATACACCCTGCCTAAGGCTCAGGGAATTTGGGGGATGGTTTGGGATGCAGGCCCAGGGCAGGGCATTAGGGTGTGGGAGGGGGTGTGGTCTTTAGGAGGGAATGTGGGTTCAGGGGGGCTTGGATGTGGGCTCAGAGTTGGGGTGTGGGGCAGGGTACTGGGCATAGGTGTAGGCCGGGTAATGTGGAGTTTATGGTGCAGCAGGAAGGCTGGTCTGGAGCAGAGGGCCCCAGAGGATTCCCCCTCCAGCCCTTTCCCTGCTGGCAGCAGCAACACCAAGGTCAGAGAGAGGAGGTCTTCTCTCCCCCCTCCCCAGTATGGCACTCAGGCAGCGCCCCAGGCTGCTGGTCAGGAGGTCCAGATAGGCCTCTGCGCTGAATTGCTTGCCAGGTGAGGTGGGCTGCCTCTTCCCCTCCTCCCTTCACTGGCACATCAGCTGGCCAGGCCAGCCCACAGTGCCACTACCCTAGAGCCTGACATAGCAGCAGCCCATAGAGAAACACAGCTCAGAGCTGCAAAGGGCAGCTGCCCACTGTCCAGGGCAGGCAGGGAGGCTCAGGGGAGACCTGCAGGGGCAGTAGGCAAAGTCAGTGGAAAAACCTGCCCCTGAACACTGATTGAGATGGCCCAAGAATATTCTTGAAGCCAGACCCCACAGGTCCATACCATTCTTCGGTGTAAATGGTGGGCAGGAATGTTCCCTCTAATGTTTTCCATCCATGTGTGGAATAAATTTTATGAGCACTGAGGCATGTGTGGAGATGCACTACGAGTAGAAACATGCTGCTGGCCATGGCACTCTGCTAATCAGCTGGGTGGCACCTGATTCCTGGGTGGCAGCCCAAGCCCATAGTTTGAAGGGAATACTGTTAGGCAGCCAGAGAAAAGATCACTTGTCACCCTTAGCCTAGAGAACCCATTTGACACCTGCGAACCTGCCGTGAAAGTGCTAAAGACAGCACTAATAGGAAACCCCATTATATAAAACAATGGAGTCTCTGTTCAATAGGCAAAAGTTATTATTCTGGTTAGACTATTAGTCTCTATTTTTGCACAGACAATCTGTTTGATAGTAATCTGTCAGTGATTAATATTTTCACAGGGATTTAGACAGGATTGAAAATAAAGCTCATCCAATGGTTCTTAAGGTAGAATTAAACTAAGAAAATAATCCTAAATATTAGCAGTGTTGTGATATCTTTTTGTTAAATGCTTAAAATGTAGCTCGTGGCAGGTGTTTCCATGTATTTACAAGCTAGTGGAAAGAAAGATTTACTCCATCTTAAATTAGAGATAAATCAAATGTTGGTAGGCAGCTGTCTCTTGTTGATCCTGTTTGGGATACATTATGTTCTCTAAGCTTTTAGTTCCCCAGTGACAGAATAGAGAAACATTAAAATGTCTATCTTTTGGTTTTTTTTGTTTACTTCATGCAAATGCTATATCAGTATAAAGCCCTTTACTACCTAAGATATTTGAAGAATGTAGTTTTACAGTAGCAATGTTATAGTTAAGTTTGAGATGGTCCTTTGTAAAACATTTCATTCAGAACTGTACCTTAAAATCTGAAATGTTCCACATCTGCTTTCAGTCCAAAGTTGGGGTTGTTAATTTATGAAGAAAATCCACAGATTTGAGTTGTAACAGCATGAAAAAATGAAATAACTTTTGATTTTGAAGTAGATTAAAAACCAGTTCTGAGCTATTTTTAAATGCATCAGACTTGAAATGTATGAGGTCGGTATGAGCAATACAGTACACTTATTTGAAAATAATGGGCTTGGACAGAAAATATGTAAAAAATCTTGTGTAATACAGGCAGTCCCCGGGTTACATGGATCCGACTTACATCGGATCCCTACTTACAAACGGGGTGAGGCAACCCTGCACTAGCTGCTTCCCCCCAGCAGACCAGGGAGACGCGAAGCTAGCACCCCCTCCCCCCCCAGCAGACTAGGGAGACGCGGAGCGGATTTTCTTAGCAGACACCTCAGCTTGAGAATAAAGGACTGAGGGAAGTGAGGTGTGGGAGAATAAAACTGAGCTCTGGAGAAATGTTTGGCTAGAGTTTCCCCTACAATATATACCAATTCCGACTTACATACAAATTCAACTTAAGAACAAACCTACAGTCCCTATCTTGTACGTAACCCGGGGACTGCCTGTACATTTCTTTCCTTATTGGCAAGTTTATGCAAAGACATAGTTCAAGAAGGTTGAAACCTAATCTTAATTGCTCCTGTGTAAACGCACTGAAATCCATATGCCTAATTCATCTTGCATTTATACTGATGTAACTACAGGTTGCACCTCTCTAAACCAGGACTCTCTCGTCCGGTTGCTGGACCACAGATGTTGCTGAACGAGAGAGCCCCTGGAGAGGAGGGACAGTAGTTGAAAGCCCTGATCAAGGCAAGGCTGCTAGTAGCGGGGCTGGGTATCAGCAGCCCAGTGGCAGTAGTGGGGCTCTGATAGCAGGCAGGCCGGCTTTAGGAACCATTTTAATGGGGCCCCAGCAGCTGGGAATTTTTTGTTGACCAAAAAAAAAAAAAAGTCACAGCCCCTTTAAATCCCCAGCTACATGGCAGAGTCCTGCCTTCCAGAGAAGCCCAGGGGCCGACTCCCACTCTCGCAGCACACAGAAGCCACTGTGCTCCTCCTCAGGGGCTGCGCCCTGCACACTTCTGGGTTTAGGGTACAGGGCCTGATTCAGGGGAATCAGGTGAATCAGCCTAAAACCGGCCCTGATAGCAGGGCAGGGCCAGCCTGGCAACCTAGCTGAGGCCGGGGCAGCCCATGCAAGCTGACCCAGCAGTGGGGTTGTGCTGCAGCAACTCAATGGGTGCTGTGTGCCGGTCTGGCAGTGGGGACAGAGCTCTGTCGGCCAGGCCATGACACCCCCAAAACGGAAGCCAGTTTGGGGCTGTGGAAGGGGAACTGGGCCGTTGCCAGCTGGCAGCAAGATTGGTGCTCTGGCAGCGGGATCAGGGCTGCATGCTGCCGTGCCTGCTGCAGCAGCAGTTATTGCAGTAGGGCAGGGGCAGCTGTATAGCCCAGCCAGCATCAGGGAAGGGACAGCTGGTTGAGGGGGCCAGTGGCAGGGGACCTTCCCTGGTCTGGCAAATTTCCTCATCCCAGACCACTTAGGTCCTAAGGATGCCGGATCACGGAGGTACAACCTGTATTACAGGCTACTCATTTAGGGAGAGAGTTGGCTGATGTGATTGCAGAGCCATTGGTCATTATCTTTGAAAACTCATGGCAATCGGGGGAGGTCCCGGACATTGGAAAAAGGCAAATGTAGTGCCCCTCTTTAAAAAAGGGAAGAAGGACAATTTAGAGAACTATAGACTCGTCAGCCTCACCTCAGTACTTGGAAAAATGATGGAGGGGATCCTCAAGGAATCCATTTTGAAGTACTTGGAAGAGAGGAAAGTGATCAGGAATCATCAACATGGATTCACCTAGGGCAAGTCATGCCTGACCAACATTACTGCCTTCTACGACAAGGTAACTGACTCTATAGGCATGGGGAAGGGAGTGGACATGTTGTACTTTGACTTTAGCAAAGCTTTTGATACAGTCTCCAACAGTATTCTTGTGGAAGTATGGATTGGATCAATGGATTGTAGTGTGGATAGAAAGCTGGCTGGATTTTTGGACTCAACGGGTAGTGATCAACAGCTCGATGTCTGGTTGGTGCTTGGTATCAAGCAGAATGCCACAAGGATCGGTTCTAGGGCAGGTTTTGTTCAACATCTTTATTAATGACCTGGATGAGGGGATGGATTGCACCCTCAGCAAGTTCGCAGATCACACTAAGCAAGGGGGACAGGTAGATATCTCAGAGGGTAGAGAGAGGGTCCAGAGTGACCTAGACAAATTGGAGGATTAGGCCAAAAGAAATCTGATGAGTTTCAATAACGACAAATGCAGAGTCCTACACTTGGGACGGAAGATTCCCAAGCATTGCTACAGGCCGGGGACCGACTGGCCAAGCAGCAGTTCCGCAGAAAAATACCTAGGGATTATAGAGAATGAGAAGCTGGATATGAGTCAACAATGTACCCTTGCAGCAGGGCTGTTACATTTAGTTTAATCAACTAATCGACTAATTGATTAGCCGATAAATGGGGGAGCCATGGTGAGCTCTTAATACATTGAAAGGGCTAACGTGTAGCAGGAGGGACCACAAGCCAGGAATCAGCTATCCCAGCTCCACGCTGCATCCTTCCTGCTGTGCTTTAGCCTTTTAAATTTACTAAGAGCTGGCTGCTGTGCTTTAGCCTTTTAAATTTACTAAGAGCTGGCAGGCTCTTAATACATTAAAAATCAGAGGCACAGCATCTGGGACTGGGCACAAGCTGGGAATCAGCTGATTCCTGGCTTGTTCCTGGTCCCTGCTACTTCCCTGCCTCCCTTGTTCCCCATGGATATGGTGCTGGGGGGAACCAGCTTTTAAGCCTGCTCCGCCTCCCCCCCCCACTGCCTCTGATACGGGGGAGGGAGGTATCAGAGGGGGGAAGGAAGCGAGTAGTCATGGGACTAGTTGAATATCAAATAACCTTTTGCTTACCAGATAGTCAAGTAGTCACTTACATCCCTACCTTGTAGCCAAGAAGGCTAATGGCATATTAGGGTGCATTAGGAGGAGCACTGCCAGCAGATCTAGAGAAGTGATTATTCCCCTTTATTCGGAACTTGAGAGGTCACAT